GCAGCAACCTCTGCACCAACAGGTCTCAATATCCATAAGGAAAGAAGTAAGACCCTGAAACAAAACACAGTGCACAGCAACCGAACCACATTTGATAGAGAAGCACTGGAACATATGGGAACTTCACATAACTGGAAAGCATCATTGATGAACAAGGAGGGTCTGATGCGGACATGAAGGTACGGATTGGCATAGCAAGGTAAGCATTCCTACAAGTGAAGAGTATCTGGAACTCAGAACAACTGTCAACCGACACCAGTCACAACTTTCAATACAAACATTGAGACAGTTCTACTATGCGGAACTGGAACTTCCAGAACCACTACGACCTTCGCCAAAAACGTACAGGTACTCATAAACGACTGTCCTTGCAAGATACTACAGATTCGGTTGCCGGGCCCCATCAACAACAACCTACTATGGCCTTGAGTTGAAGAGGAAATCAGGAAATGACGCTGAAGGTGGGTCGGATACATATTCCAGAAATCATCAGACAGCATCACCAAACAGGCTCTAACCCAGTCTCTTCAGGGGAGAATGAAAAGAGACAGAACAAAGAACACATTGTTTCAGGAATCGGGCGCAGCCGTCAAGGGAATGATTAACATCTAGAAACGACTGGAAATGAGAGCCCAGGACAAAGTTGGTTGGTAACACTTGCTTCGTGGTCTATGCCGAACGATCGATAACAGGAGTAAGTAATCAAAAGTTAAAAACCTGAAAGATATAAACTTAATGCCTGCTTGCTTACGAACGGAATTAAGGCTTGACTATCAAGGTCAATGCAGTCTCATAATACAATAAAGTTACTGACGTGTTTCGAACTCTCAACTAGGTAAATACCATACTTACTTCTTAAGAAGGCAGCTAAATCTATCAGTTCTCTGTCTGACTCCTCACCATCCCAACGTTTTATAATTAGTGAATTGCGTAGTTCTTATTGGTCTGCAGCGGGATCCGATAATGTCCTTAGGTCACTTTCTGTAACATTCCGAATGGAGCATGCGGTCACAAGTTGTTGTTTGCTTGTAAGAAAATGTTAGTTCAATATGCACCCCTCTCACATAGTGAGCACTTAGTGTATTTAATAACAATCTTTACCTTCGGGAGTTCATTATGTTGTGTAATAAATGTATTACCGATATTATCGAACAGTGGTGAAGCGTTGCATTTTCATTAACAGGCATGATACACGATGTTGCAACATCAGTTTCACTAAACCAGCCTGTCAAGGTGACTACAAGTTATGTTTGTGATGTGAAATTATAGAAACGTCTACGAAGCCTACAAAGGATCTGAGGCACTGTCATCTACGCTTGTGGTACACTGTTTCCAAAAACTGAAGACTCGTCGTATTGTTGATGTATTGATGATCATTAATTTATCAAATAAAGAAACGTTTATGCTGTAGGGAGCTAGCACAGTAATCCACAACTTATGCATCGTTTTTCTTAGAATTTTACATATCCAGAGAATCGAATAGCTATTTATTGGTCGAAGCTTGAATGTTAGAAATGTTGTAGAGTTGTAAGACGTCGATTAAAACCATTAAAATTGCAGTCCCCAGCTTCTTTTTTTACCTTATCTTTCATCCTCTTGACACAGTCCACAACACTTACTTCTTCATTGCTGTACTCATTCATTTGTAGACTATATTCCAATAATGTACTTTAGTTTCATTGGTCAGTATCGATTTTATCCTGACTTACCATAAGCATTGTCCATTTCACCATGACAGGTTAAGCAGTGCTTTGGTTATATATATGCAACGGCCTGTTTGTTGCCTTTTCTCTTTTATCTCTTTCTTCCCTTTTCAGAACCTTACCAAGGTGCCTCGGGGCAAAACGCGCCTTGTGTACACGTACATCTAGGTCACAGCTCATATCAAGAGCTTTCCAATTGGCCTTTCCCAACCAGTTCACTGCTGTTCTATTCACACCACCCAAAAACCATACTGTGCACCTTCCCTGTTTGTACTAACTTATGGAAAATGTGCCACTACCAATATGTTCCTGTCAGTAACCTAGTCTGAATGTGCTATCAGGAACAGACTCCTACATGTAATCTAATTGCGATAAGTTTCGCAGTAAATGTGGTAGCATTTGTGACAATTTGATGTAGCCTGTAAGATGGCATGTCTCTCGTAACATAGCATTATTTGAGAATAAATATATCATTATTATTGAGAATAGATTGCCAGCCTAATCAACGCAATTCTGAAAAATGATAAATCATTTAGCATAAGTTAATGGAATAACGGCTAACCATATATGGTTATCAATGTTTTAAATATTGCCAACAATGCCTTTCATCCTCTAACCATTACAGGATCATATCCTTTTGTTGCCATCTTGAATTTTTAAACAAGTACAGATACCAAATATAAGAATTCACAAACTTTAAGTATCGGCAGGAAATTTAGGAGAAACCAAGTTACAACACTTATAACAATAAAGTTAGTCCATGGTTGAAATACAATCCAAGTGTATTAGATCACTGTTTGTAATTTGGTCAGTGAAAACGGTTGCTGTTTACAGAAATTCATTTTCTCTACTGAAGGCCGATGTTCACCGATATTCTTAAAGGCGAAAAATCTATTGTTGTTATTAATCTAAGAATAACCTTTTGTTGACTTGATCAAAAGTGTTCTCCACTTGTCTGGGTCTCCAATGATGCGGATAACCTGACTCAAGTGGATTTAACATCCTCCTAGGCAGTGAAAAAATAGGACATCGGCCTACTACTGATTATGATGAAGGTATTGAGAAAGCATAAACATTACAAAAATCGGTGCAAAAATAGAAAAAGCAGAACATATAAGCTAATAGTATTGTTTTCACATAGATCGCCACTAGGCCTTACTCTAATATACTTGAACATATGTATGGAAATATTTTATTACTCTTAGCACTAATAGTGCACCCGTCTTCCTACCATTAACTTGTGCTTTCATCCACTAGACGTCGTCATGTAACCCGTTTATTTGTGGTTAATGACTCACAAACTTCTGTTTTGAACAGCATAAAAATCAGTGTCTAACGTTACTTTACTAAATCAATGTTTTCCAGCTATATAAGCCGGTACATGCTACTGACTGGAAAATTGATCTGCACAAACTGAGTTTCGACAATTCGTGCACTTCTGGTCAATAAAAGATTCAACACATAAAGCTCTTGTATTGTATTTGTTAAATAAAGCCGGTTAGCCATATATTGAGTGCAATGATTTCGTAACCCGTTTTTTGCAGAAGAATCAAGTTAAAATGGTCATAAACGATTATATTCCTAAAACTATTCTGACTCATTTTGATCTCTGATGGTATTTAAGAATAAAAGTTTTTAATAGATGCAAAAACTAGCTATAAATTAGGTTTAGCTCAACCATCCACACAGGTTGGTAGTAAAACTGACATACCAATTATATCAAATGTCTGCCTGCTAATTACAGGTGGTTGTTTAAGTGACACCAAGCATCTTTGACCATATTAACTCTCTTATATCCGAAGAGTAGACAGAGAGGGACAGACGGTCTACAGTTTCTTGAATGCTTAGTGACGATGGAGTCGAGATTGACTCTGATCACCACTACGTATAAATTACTAGCCTGTCACAAAGAACGGTTATTCCATAGTAAAGAATATTTTTGCTGGCGATTTCGCGGTACCGAAAGAATACCGAAATCATGCCAGGAAAGATGGGTGAAATTACAGAGACAGTGGAGCCAAAAAGGTAGCAACACAAACAGAAAGTTTGTGCGTAGAGTGTAATCGATGAAAAGTAGAGTTAAACAATCACTGGTACAATTGGTTATAAAAATGAATGTTTCTATTAAATTAGCCGCATTATCTTCATAAAAGTGGGTTTACTACAGCGGCTCCTCGCTACGTTTGCGGCTTAAGTTGGTTATTCTGTTGTTTGAACAGAGAAATGAGAAGACATATTTTGTGAGATATTACCATTTCGTGCTTTCTCGTCAGTCACATACAAGCAACATGTTATTTGTGTAAATACAGTTTTGAAGATAAGGTCGAAATTTCTTATTTAGCATGACATTCACTCACTAGAACTATGGTAAACAAAGGTAAACATACAGTTGTTTTTGAACACATAAAGTTGGACTTTTCCGACCAATCAAGATAGCTTCGAGTAGTTTTAGTGTGTGTGGGTTTTGATGACATGTCACAACTCTAAAGGCTGATTTTGGGTCAATTTGATGACCACTCATCATTAGATGTTTTGCAATGGACGAGGCTGGGTTTCTTGATCGATTTTGAGATGACGGGCTAGGTTGATGAATCATGGATTTGATTAACCATTTTGGAATATGTTCCCCTATCCTCTCTTCCAATCGGCGATCTGTCCTCCTCAAGTAACTTTCTCCGCAGTTGCATGTGAGTTGGTAAATACAGTGGGATTTGGACTGAATCGGTCTTGGAGACTTGATAGGGGTAACTGAGATCGATTGAGTTGTTGTGATAAGCCTCAGATTAGCTGCATTGAAGGTCTTTTTTATTGTAGCTGCAGTCTGTTTGGTTGTAATTTTCATGCAATGATCACTCTTGAAAGATAATTGTAGGTACACTGGTTTCTTGGTCGGAAAACTCCAACTTTATGTGTTCAAAAACAACTGTATGTTTACCTTTGTTTACCATAGTTCTAGTGAGTGAATGTCATGCTAAATAAGAAATCAAAACTGTATTTACACAAATAACATGTTGCTTGTATGTGACTGACGAGAAAGCACGAAATGGTAATATCTCACAAAATATGTCTTCTCATTTCTCTGTTCAAATTTATCAAAGGGAACCACTATTTTGTATTCTGTTGTTGAGATAAATTTTCGTCTATCGAGAAAGTCATATAAGCAATATCTTCCGTGTATAAGTATTTCAGATGGCAAAATACGTATGCATTTTGATGGAAGTTAAGTTATACATTCTGATCATACGAATTCGTTGAGTTGTTTATATGGGTTCAATAATAGGCGCTAACACCTGGTGTATGGATTTGTTTGCCAGAGCACCGTTAGCACCTTTCGAGGGTGGTGGTTTATCCGATGATCTGGACGGTTATGAGACATCCTCATTGGTAGCTGATACGGATACTCAAATAAAACGAGTTTCATCTATCCCATTCGATGTCAGCTACTTCTCTTTTGAGGATTCACTCACTGATCTGATTGGGAATTTTGATGAAAAGATATATCATTGTTTTGAAAATTTTGACGTGGATCCTGAAAATGCACAAAAGGTTAATCTTTCAGGAAATGTTCCGACTTTGGGTGAGGTCAAGTAAGTGAACTTCTGTACATACTCATGTCAGGCAATGGTGGGCTGCAGCCACCGGAGAAATCGTACCTACTGAATCTTACCCGCTTCATAGCTTACCAAGTATCATTAACTTGTATGATGTCGTAAGTTTATATTTCAGCTTCATTGTATCTACTTTTTATTTTCAATTTTTCTATAAGTTGTGCGTGTGATATATGATCTTATTCGTGCAATGCTAATACCTCTGTAAATAACATATACCCGAAAAATTTCAGTGAGTTGGATCTGACTACGTTTTCTACTCTCATCTTAGCCACTCCCCCTCAGCTTATATACAGTAATCTGTTTTGACCAACAAACTAAGCAATTAGTTTGAGTTTCGCTTCAGACTATGCCGAAATTATAACTATTTTAGTTGTATTCTCTTTAAAATTAGTATCTTCAAAGAAATTTGCTCAAGCTAATGAAATTCAGAGTCCAGGCCATACGGCTATCATAACACGAAACATAAAAAATGCTCTAAAGTGTCAATATGTTGACTGCATGTATCTCATTCTTGACTGTGGTGATGGATTTGTGGATACTAATTTTTTCATGAAGTTATGAGCTATAGAGATTAGGCCTTAACATTTTTACTATTGGTCTTAAAATAGTATTATATTTGCCCAATACTTCAAGTAACCTGATAACATTCGTGCCGGTGATCTGTGGGGTTTCGCTTTCTTCCCTTATTCAAATACCTACTTAATGTCATATGCTAGGTAGTAAGAAAACCTAGACTTTCACTTTCAGATTTATAAAATCAAAATGGGTTCATTCAGGATGCTGAGAATGCCATGATAAACCATAATGTATTGTTAATGATATAAATGTTATAGACACCTGAAAGGTAATGAGTTATCGACCAAGCGCTAATAAAATTATTGACATGAGTACTAGAGCAACTTTCACCTCGTTTTTTTCACAACTTATTCTGTCCTCACTTGTGTTGCGTATTTTTTTCATTCTTTTACCCATAGGATCAATTTGAACTTGCAGATGCCGATGGAGTAACTGAAGATGAAATTATAAAAACAGGTTTGCTTCAAACGAATAGTGTAAGTTTACTAAGGTTGGTATAATCTGTCTATCCCCTTCTAGGGACTTCATCGCTAACCACTAAAGTATCTCGGTAGTTTTGAAATAATTACCACCAGACCAGCAGCTGTCGCTCATATAGACGCCGAGATTGTTTACCTCAGTCACCTATTCAGTAAATTTCAGTCAGTAAATCTGTTCTTTAGTATAGTTCAATGCCACAAAAAATTTCAATATTAGTGGAGCTGTAAACAGTTACTTTCGTAGTATAAAGGATTCTTGGTTCTCGAAGTCCTCACGTTTTAAGCAGAGATGTAATACTAGTAAAGATTTTTGCTTGAGCGTTCGCAAACAGAGGATCATCTAATATCTGTTAAATCATTTGGAACAAATCAACTTCCGAAATCATCCATTCTTATGTATTCTGTGGTTCTCATCTGCGGCATATCGGGTTTTCTAAAACTTCGCGAAGGTTTATCTGTAAACAGCTCCAAAAAGACTAGTCTCCAGTAGATGTCTTTTAAAATCTACGGTTGGTAACATTTACTAATTTCCATTTTCAACAAGTCTCAGCATGCAACTCGTCGAGTGTAGTGCTTGCGGTGTTCTGTTTGATTGCACACTGAGAAGCGTACATCTCTTGTGGTCGTTAGTAATCGTCTTCATCTTTGTCCTTTTTTCTATATATCTTGAACTGATCGACTTTTCTAAAGGGTACTCTTCGGGGACTTAATAGTAGGGTACACAGTTCGGGTTTATTGAAATAATGAATAGAGGACTGATTGATAGATGATGCATAATAGTTCGACGTCTAGGTGAAAATGCTCATGGGGTCAGGCTCCTGATTGGCTGATAATCAACCATTAAAACAAATTTCTACTAAAAAAATGCTTATATGAGAAATATTACATAAAGTAAACGTGATTGGATTTCATAGGAAATTGGAGTGTACGAGTTTTGTAGGTCACTTCCCAACGAATAAGGACATAATTGCTAGTTCTAGTTTATCCCCGTCGTATAATATTCTTAATTTCCGAGCTTTCTTTCTCATCACGAATTTTTATCTAAAATGCACTTGATCATTTAAAGCCACTCTACCAACCACACATCTAAACTCTGCATTTCTACATACTACTGAGAATGCCGAAGGCAGTTAGTAGGTTATGTGGTAAATATTTAAATATTATTATAAATATGAGCGTGGGTAGGCATTTGAAGACTTGCAAGCTACGGGTTAGTGTTTATTATCAGAAACTATCCATTCACTTCATTCAGATCTTATTTATTTTCTGGTAAAACGAAATTCAGATGCATTAGAATCCATGAATATAAGCAAAAGTACAAAAGCTCTACATTAATATATTTAGCAAATTTACTATACGACGCGCATAGGTCGCATACATCGACCTAATCAGAAACCTACATTCATAAATGCGTTGTAAATTCACTTGTAAAGGTCCTCATGTTGTTTAAAGTATCTTATTTACTTGTTTCATGCATATACCACTGTTCTTTATGGCGAAAAAGGTTAACAGTTGTCAAGAAATTGTGTGCGGAGAATTTCATATTGTACTCAATACTGCATAGAGCCGTCACTGTCATTATTGTTAAATTAGATCAGATTACAGCAAAATCAGCAATTTATTCTCTGCGAATTTTAGGCATTCGATAGTTAGCCATCTTATCTATATTTTCGAGTGTAACGATAGTATTCACTTCTACAACAAAATACTGTTTGGTTCATGGTCCTATGTACAAACTCGCACTTACCGGGTTAAGTAATAATCGTCGTTATTACTTCCAAAAAATTGTAGACTCATAACCTAAGCTTTGGGACAATCAACAAGTTTATTCAAACTTCTATTCAAAAAACTGAAACTAAATACAGTAAACTTAGAAAAACATTCTTCATTAAATCAGTGTAAGTGGTTTTGTCTGCTTCTATACCGTTTGTTTAAAAAGTTGGAAATGCTTGACGACATTCCTCACCGTTCTTATCTTTCAGTCTGGATGTGACAGGTAACTCAGTTGAGACATTATTCAATGCGCGTTGTTAAATATTATACCCATGGAAAGTGGTGCTTGATTGCTCTTATGCATTCCGAAAGAAGTTAATTGTTCAGCATCAGATTACTTACCGAACCTCTATTTCACTCCCAAGTGCCTGTTTTCCTGTTAGTACCTAATAAATGGAATCGAATCAGTATTTTATACTCAAGTCCTTAACGTCGCTCCTAAACTACGTTGTTTTATTTCAGATGATTGAAAAACTTAAGTTCATGCATTATTGTGCTAGGCTTTATGCTGATTCATTCGGTAGTTAAGTTTAAGATAATAGTAGCTTTTCCGTGTGTACATCCTTTCTTGTCCTTGATTAAAAATTAATACCTTCACAATTACTTATAGTTATTTCTTTTGAGTATCAACTAGCTCAAAACAGTCATTTCTGGAGACCTACCTATATATATGATCTTATTCTATAAAACCCCTGCTTTTTTATAGGCTTTGCATTACTCAAACGAATCTATTTGTTCGGCACGAGGTACCGTTACTACTCTGTCCTTATCACCTGTATCAGCTAGTTCTCGTTCATTAACACTTGATCAAGTTCTTCCAAATACATTTACCCAAATTCTCGATAGTGGAATCTCAAACACTGATGAAGAGCTCAACGGCCACTTTTTTAAAGATTATGATGATGACTGCAAAATTCTTGAAATTTTTCAGTCTCACCATCCGTCTCTACCTTTGAAAAAAACTCAAAGTTGGATAGATGGTATGTATTTGTTTTGTATAAATGTTGTACATAGTAAAACATTAAATTAGTTAGCAAGTATTCAGTTTAAGTATGATAATATTCTACCTTAATTACTGATAATATCTGAACTCAGTTAATTGCCTGGAGGCAATTTAAAAGCGTTTTCTAAATACCGTATGTTTTGAATAAAATTCATTACAGTTTTCACGTTGTCTTGAAACTCACTGGTCCTGAGAAAATGAAATTTCAGAAAGCGCAAATGTTTTATCCTAGTACTTGCTAGAAATCTCCCCTATTCGCTTATAATTCAGTGGTTGAAATTTTTCATCTGAATTCTCAATTCGATTCTTGCACGTACTTAATCAACTCATCACAAACAGAAAAATTGGCTTTTAGGATTCTTCTATGCACTCTACTCCTAATTATTGATGAGCAGGCTCAGTTTATTTCTTTTAAAACAAAATCCTGACAAGAAGTGGTTTGCGAGTGCCATGAATATGTAAAAATCACTGGTATCCCCTTATCAATCCAAAGTTTTAAGTGTGGTTTGTTTTAGTATTGATTTTTACTGGAGAGAATGATCATTATATTAATCACTGGCTTAGTAGTTAAAGTACTTGACTTTCATGTCTGAGATTGGTTTTAAAGCTGTCTTACCTACTTCATTTTGCAAAGCCTGGGCAAAAATGTCGCTCAAAACAACACAAGTCAATGTTAGGCTACTAAAATGCACTAGATGTTTGTGTTATCTACTTGTTGACCAATTAACCCATCTCTTGAACCACACTAAACCCAATAAGTCGAGAACTAACAAAATCTAGACACAAAAAGACCCGTTTACTAACTCATGGTACACCCAAATTATCCGGTTTTCAAAAGCCTTTTTAATTATTGTTCACTGAATAACTAAGTTTATACATTCTACAAACGGATATACATCTATAGAACATTTTATTTATCTAGACAAATTTACTAAGTAAACCGTTTTGCATAAAAAGCCTTTTGTATTTGATTTCAGACCTTCAGAGTTTAAAAATCAGCGTTCTCAAACTTTATGTTCAGCAAATGAATAGCAAAATTATGCAACTTTCAGATTGTTTGGTGGATTCTTTGGCGGAACGAGATGAGCTTTTAATGCTTCGTGAAGCCAGTGATGACTTTATTATATTACTTAACTTGGTCCATGAGCGGAAAACTCAAGCATCCAAGGCGGCTCTCTTAGCAACAGCCAAAAGCTTGATTCGTTCCAAAGTGAGAGTTTTTTCATGAGATTTCCACTTTCAAGTTAGATTGGTTGCATACTTATATGATAAAAGTTTCGGCTTATTTTTATCTGCTGAATAGCTCGGAAGCTGAGATTACCGATCTTATCCGAACATACAACACAAAAATAGGATAAGTATAAATAATGTTGAACACTACTGCAAGCAATAAATATCAACAAAGTGCCAAAGTATTTTATACCTATATGTACAGTTATTTTTCTGCGTTCAACTATCAACCAATTTCATCCATTTAATGCCATAAAATTCTAACGATAACTCAGTAAGAATGCTATTTTATCTGTCCTTTCACCGAAGTGATTTGTCCATTTAACCACTCTAGATATGGAAGGGATTCTCAGTTCAATATTTGTGGTTAGTCAGTGGGAGACAGTTTTGCATACAACTATGTTCGTTAAAATCTACGTAAATCTAAGGATCGAAACAATTATTTTTTATTTGATGATCTGGAATTATGAAAGGTTTTTAAAGCATTCATTTACTGTTCCTTTAAGTTGAATGTCATTTTAAGGTTTCTTGTGTAAAATGGCAGTTACTAAGATATATGGTAAATTGTTGATATTCTTGTCTCCGCCTGTGATAAATATCAACGGTTTTGTTCATATTTTGTTAATGAGACTACGATGGAATCTCTGAATGTTATCATTTCTGATTATCTAATCTTAGTTCACACACGTTTTTCAATTGAGCTAATCTTACAAATTATTTGGAATCACAGAGTATTCTTACCATAAAATTTTATAACTTTTTTGGTTCGATTTCCACTTTTGTTACATCCTGATATTCCATATTAAAACAACACTTATTTCATTGATGTTGTTTCCCTATTTGTATGGTTTGACCTTATGTATTTGGTCAGCTGATCGGAAAAATATATGACCCAAACCACTTGGTTTGTAATTTATAAGTCTATTCCTTAAGCTGGACCTCCTGCCTTTATTATACGTTAATAGGACAAGATTTTACCGATTGTCATATGAAGTAGGATAGTTTTATTACCAACGTCTAGTCTTTTTGCTACTGTGTTCACCACCTAAAAATGTGTTTGCACTTCTTTATGAAAGTCACGCGGAGAAATTTTGATAAGTTATACAACTAACTAATTCCCAACTAAGTATACCATCCTCACCAGAATTATTGAGTGAATACCTAATTAAATTAATTTTTAATTTAATAGAACCAAAGCACAAGATGTTCATCAAATCGTATTCTGCTGTATAACAAACGGCGCAATTTTGAGTGAAGAAATTATCATTTTTTAAGTGTTTTTAATTTTTGGTGCATAAGTATGGGTTTTTGTCATGTTTAATTGCCAGCACAATTGTTTGAAATCTTGAAACGTACGATGTATGTAGTGCTTTTTTCTTCAGTGTTAGTAAAGTCTACATTTTTTAACTTCAGTCATCAATTGATGTACTGATCATGTTTGGACATTCATCAATTAGTCATTTATTATCCTTTTTTGTATGATGATGGTTGTTTTTAGTTATGATCCAGTTAACAACTTAACTGTTAAAAAAATGCTTCTTTGATTTCGTAGACTTTGTTTCGTGTTACTACCCCTTGGTTTACAAAAAAGCCTCATATATCGGCTTCTAGTACACTGTCGTTAGTTGGATCTTCAGATATTGGAAAACCAGTTACTACAACACCTATTAGAAACGAATCAAGCATGCATGTCCCAGTGAATTCAGTCCATTTAGATTTACGAAATAGTACAGTTGCTTATGTGGCCTCTCTTAATCTTCACTCAAAACTAAGAAGGCCTAGAACACAGCCAATACATGTTAACGGGACAAGTCATTCAAACGTTCAGAGTGTTTCAAATTCAGTCAATTCGATTGGTTCTAAACAACTAAATGAATCACATCCCTCTGAACGTGTTGACTTATCTTCAGAAAGTATAAAATCAATACCTACTAAACAAGCGAAAATACGCTACGAAGCCCTCGTGAATTTGTGCAACTCTACTAATTGGCCGGATGGTAAACCTCAAAATAGTCGAGTAAGTATCGTTTCTATTGTTGAACATTGTGATCAATCATCAACGTTTTGAATTTTAGTGTTAAGTTTCTCACTACCGTAAGCTTTCATAAATAATAGGCATCATGTCATAAAACGATAGCGATAAAATACCTAGTTTTTCTCATAGGCATTATGTATACATACACATGCATGCATGTCTTCTCCACTTAGTTATAGCATGGTGGTTGGCAGTGTATGCTTATTAGCTGGTTTTCTGTTCTCTCATTACATTTTATTTACTTTGAATAGTTATTGAATATTTGATACAACCAAATGACCTCGGTAACTGAGTTCAGCACGTAGTCCTTGGAACTGCATTATTGTTTTGATTCCTAACTTTTTTTCAAACTTCTGAGAGTCCTACTGTGTGGAGGTTTTGGTATGAATTTATTTCTACTCTGAGTATTCTATTTCTTAAATACTTTAATTTTTAACCTACAATTTTCAGTTGCTCAACATACTAAAATGTCTTTGTTCTGCATGTAAATACTGCAGGAAACATATAGTGTTTTCAGTGCATATCAATCTAAATAATATTGTTTTAAGGTATCAGTTAATTTATCATATATCTGTTGTCTGTCATCAGGACTGTTCAGATAATTTGTGGTAATGAAAAATACAGTTTCGCTAAGGGAACAAAGTTTATTTATCCATTCATCTTAGCCGTTGGTTTGCACACTAACATCGCTATCGATTTCATGCGATTCCTAATACAGTCAGTCACTCAATAAGATTGTATTTAGTTGATCACTTAATGATTTTTTAATATTATGGTGTAGTTCGCCTACTAACAAATTTACAAACCATAGTTTGACCGGTGTTAAGAGGCCTCTATCTCATTGATCTATTTTGCTCATCATTACCTTTAATCCTATGTCTGCTAATTAAATTGATAAACGTCGGATATGTTTATTTATTAGTTCTTCATTCACGAACCAGTCATTAGTATCTTTTACTCTATCTGACTGATAGTTTTTGCCATTTATCTTTACGTTTAGTCCTTACTTTTATGTTTACCATATCGAATCAACTCGGATGTTGGAATCTCCATACAAGATCTACGTCTATTGAATCAAAGTGAGTTTTTAGAATAATTTGTGATGGTTATTAGAATTTCGTATTAAAAATTCCTAGCTGGTGTCATAGGGATTTGGGGATTTCATTCTATACTCCAGACGTTGACAACCGGGTTATAAAGGTTAATAAATTAATTAATTGGTATTCTTAATCAGATTTATTATTCCCTACTCTTAAAGTAAGTACATATCAACTAAGTATCCCTAATCCATAAAGCTACACTATCTTATTGTCTCTCAAATGGGCTTTGGGTTTTAGCGTGGATAGCATAAAATACAACTCATTTTAATCTCAGCTATTGTACCATTCTAAATTATCTAAGATGGTTCAAATCTCTGAGAATGAGTTTATCATGATACTGAAGGGATGAAACAATGTAAGCATGTGAATAAAACTGCTGGTTATGTATTTCAACATAGACAACTTAAATCAAACAGCGGTGAGTCATATAGTCGAGTGAATGTTCCTTATAAAATCGCGCTGCTAGTTTTACACTACTGTGGCCAGTGCATTAGCTGTAGGTCATAAATTACGCAGAACGAACTCCACTTTAACATTCTCCGCAATTTGTGCTATTTTTCCCAAAATGCCCTCGTATGGCCGAGGGTGGGTAGAGTCTACTCCTCCCCCTCCCCGAAATGCTCTCGTATGTCCTCGTAAATGTAGCCGTTTCCAGGGAAGTTGTACTCACTTCCTTCTAGTAGGGATGTTTACAAAATTGAGAGGGTAAAAAATGGATGCCTACCACTTGGACTGGGTTAGTGAGTATGAAGAATCCACTTGAAAGATTAGAAAACCCTGATTTCAAACCAATGATACACATGGCCTCCGTGATCCTCAGGGTAACAAATGGCGTATAAACCTGTTCTTGGTCACCGACTACCATGGGATTTCAACTCTACGTTACTGCACTGCCTTGCGGATCAAACCTCTAGGTCAGAGATTTAGGTAATGACCCCCTAAGAAAACCACCTTCGTTCTTGGCACCCGAGTCGCATCCAGCCCACACAAAAATTCAACTAGTGTGGCACTTGTATTTTTGGAGCTCCTTTTTACCAAACCTTGTGTTTAAATAAATAAGTAGAACTTTGAAGCAAGGAAAAAATAAGTTCTTGGGGATTTGTTCGTCCTTTTTCATTTGTGCAGCTTACTTACGATCCTGATCTACTTGTCAAACTTAAAAAAGTATCTTTGTCTCTATTGGTTCGTGTATACTCTCAAGTAGAATGTGACAAATAATAACATTGCTCCTCACATTTTTTAAAGTTCTCTCAGAACTACCTATGTAGAAAGTGTACAGACGTACTAGCTTCTTAAAAAATCTTAGGTTAACTATCTGTAAAAACTTGACATATTACGGATAAACCGTGCGACTTAAGAGTTGATGAGTTTTTTGTGTCAGTGTATATTTTTTGACATGCAATGGAAACACCAAGCAAGTATTATCAAGGTGTAACGTGCAGTACTACAAAAAGACGAGTCTGTCAATCCACATTGAATAGGAGCTTTTTATGCATCCTATACCACCAGCTCCATTCCATGTACCTAAATTAATGGTTGTTCTGGTTGTCAGAGAAGATTGTCAACATCATGTGGAATTCTTATGATGGATTAAACTGCGAAATCGTGCACGCAGGACAGCTGACAGCCTCGTTCCATGTGAAGACCGGTGTCACGCAAGATTGCTTACTCTCAGCCTTTCTCTTTCTTATGATGATCGACTGGATTATGAAAACGTCAACATCTGGAAGGAAGCACGGTATACAGTGGTCAGTCAGAGTCAGTCAGTTGCAACGTAGAACTTCGTACGTATGTACATAAGTTCATGTTGCCATACCACACATAAACATACAGAGATGCAAATGTCAAATCAAATCCCATAGTGATAAAAATAGTAGAGGTATTAATTTTAATAATGAAGACTAGGGTTCGAAGATAGTATTCAAGAAATATAATTCAGTGAGATAAGGTTAGAAAGACAAAGGTAGAGGTGCTGACGAATCCAGAAGATTAGGATTTGAGAGAGCTCAAAGTGTGGATGCACCTGCGCCATTGCAAACGATTTTGAGCCATGTCGTTCAAGGTCTCTAGCCATTGATGACTTTCGTCTGGCGGACCCCAACCAGGTAGTCTACATCTACCAACATGACTCAGTCCACTTGTCAGAGACTTCATGGATTTGTGCCATGTTTTGGTCTGGCCGCCCCTAACTTTCTTCCAACCTACTCCTACGCCACAAAACATAGCTCGTCGAGGCAGTCGGTGGTTAGGCATACGTAACACATGTCCCAACCACCTCAACTGATGAAGTTTCACTACTTCATCTATTGATCTGCCATCGTTACCTAGTACTCGTTTCCTAACGACAGCATTGCTTACTCGGCTGTCCCACGATATACGAACAATGCTTCTTAAACATCTATGATCGAATACTAGTAACCTACGGACATCTTCTACTCTTAACGGCCATGTTTCACAGCCATATAAGAGAACGGAACGAACTGCTGCGCAGTACACCCGCCCTTTGGTTAGCGAACGGATATCGCGCCTACGCCATAAGTGGCGCAGGTTGGCAAAGGCCAATCGAGCTTTCTGTATCCGAGCTGAGATTTCGTCAGTCACCAGACCGTCAGCACTGATGAGACTCCCCAGATAAGTGAAGCGATCAACACGCTCGACTACTTCACTCCCTATCACTAGTTCAGGTGCCGATGCAACCCAATCTTGAAGCAACATTTTGCATTTCGAGGGGGAAAACCGCATCCCGAACATGCTCGCATTGTTGCTTATGTTAGTCAGAAGACTGCATTTTGTCAGCGTCTTCACCAAGTAGGACTATGTCATCGGCATATTCTAGATCAGTAAGCGACTTTCCTGGTAGAAGGTCAACCCCTTAAAAATCTGACGAGCTTAATGTTAACTCTTAGAGGATGTCTACGACAAAGTTAAACAAGAATGGAGAGAGTGGACATCCCTGACGGACACCACTTGATGTAGAGAATTCAGATGACAGTTCGCCATATGCTCTCACACGACCAGTGGTGTTCGAGTAGAGTGCTTGTATAAGGTTAATGTACTTCTTTGGTACACCTTTCAATGACAGACCCTGCCACAGAACCTCACACTCCACTGAGTCGAATGCCGCCTTAAGGTCCAGGAACACGACTATTGTCGGTCGTCTAAATGTGTGTCTGTGTTCCAGGAAGGTATACAGTGGACAAACAGGATGTAGCTGGACGATCTGGACTTTGCAGATGATCCGGCTCTTTCTGTCGCACACGCAACAACAAATGCAAGAGAACACGACCAGTGTAACAGCAGACTCAGCAGCAGGTCTCAACATATAATGGAAAAAAAAAATTCTCGGATTCAACACAACATACACCAACCAAATCAATGTTGATGGAGATGCCATGAAGGACATAAAAAAAACCTTTACATATCTGGGCAGTATCGTTGCCAAGCAATGTGTATCTGATGCAGATGTGGCGGCACGGATGGGCAAAACAAGGACAGCATTTCTACAATGGAAGAACACCTTGAACTCAAAACGACCTTTAGGTCCCACCATACCAGGTAGGTTGGTTAAGAAATAGTAAAACTAAAAGCAGCAACTTAGCGTCTACGAGCGAAGTTGTACTGCTGACCGTATAGAGGTGTGATAGCAGTAATGTGTTTCCTTCGGATGACCAGCATCTACAGCGGTGCCGCCTCTCAGAAGGTAGGAAGGGGTTAGAAAATGTTGACCCTAAAAATGTCAAACCTCAACTTAACTTATCGCCTTTTGAAGAGCGGAGCTAACACTTTCAAAGCTTCCCGTAAAAAGGCCGTGGGTGACCGGCTTCAAGCGATTGTCCCATGGGCTCTGCGGTCACACTGCCAGCACCAATCTAACTTCCCTTTCGAGTTCCTGAGGTAATACCCTTTTGCGACCGGGAAGTGATATCCGCCTTTATATCTGTAATAGCACACACGATCATTTTTGTTACAATCAAATCCTTCCTACTGCCGCTTCTCGTGCCCTTACTGGTGTAGGTGTAGCAATGAGTCCTAGGACAAAACTAGCTCTCTTGGACTTGATTCCAGTAGACAGTCTCTTGTGCGCTCTCCGACTAAGCGAAACAGTGAGGACTGGAAAAGATAGGGATACTCGCTATCACCTCTTCGTTAACTCTGCCTACAATCCCACTGATTGCAGCTCGAAGATAAAAGATGAATTTTACAGCAAGCCTTCCAACCTTCAAAAAAGCTGAGCACTATGATGCAACGATGGCGGCTGGTGATTTCAATTCTCAAGTAGGTAGATTAAGCGAAAAGGAAAGACACCTGAGTAAATCTTATCGTGTCGCAGCTTACTGGACGTAAGCCCGACCGTAGCTGCTACCTTGACGTGGTGGTCGGGCTTGCCTATCGTGATGACCCAACCGAGCTATACTGGCTGGAACATATGTTCCTCAAGGTTCTACCATGCCAGACAGGTCGATTGGAGAACGATGAGACTAAAAGCAGCTACCCAAGGTCTGAGGGCGAAGTCGTACTGCTGACTGCAGAGGGGTGTGACAGCAGTAAGGTGTTTCCCTCGGACAACCAGCATCTGCAGCGATGCTGCCTTCTCACAAGGAAGGAAGGGTTAGAAAAGGTCGGCCCTAAAAATGTCACACCTCCCCTAACTCACGGATTTCCGTCTCCCTGGGTGAGGGTGCCCAATAAGGGCCTTTAAGAACGGAGCTAATCCTCAACAAACGTTTCATAAAAAGGCCGTGCGTGATCGGCCTCAAGCAGTTGTCCCTTGGGCTCTGCGGTCACGCACCAACACTAATCTATCTTCCTTTTCAGGTTCCTCAAGAAACAACCTTCCACGGTGTGGGCAGCCGGGAAGTGACAACCGCCCTCATACCCATAACAGCACGCGAGACCAAATTGGTCAAAATCAAATCCTTCCTACACCCCCTAGTACCTCTCTTATCTCCACGACTAACTCTTCTCACATTCATTCATCACAGTGCACAGCTAATGCAGACGATATGTGTTCGCGAAACGTCGTTCCTGGTCTCCTTAAACCTCGCGCTAGACTACATGTTGGAGCATTTAATGTACGGACATTGTGTCAAATAGGGAAACAGGCTTCCTTAGCTAGGACTTTAGAATCTCGTGCCATCGATGTATGCTGCGTCTCGGAAACGCGCATACAGGATCCTAGTAAAGTCATTAACCTGATTCCACCTTGTCAAAACGAAGAAGCAGCTCGATTTACTCTTCGTGTATCCGGTAGCCCTGATGCTGCTTCCAGGGGTCTTGCTGGCGTAGGCATAGCATTGAGTCGTAGGGCAGAACAATCTCTCCTTGACTGGATCCCAATAGATAGTCGATTGTGCGCTGTCCGACTAAACGGGACACTAAGGACTCGGAAAGATAGGGACAATCGCCGTTGCCTCTTCATCGTATCTGCCTATACCCCCACTGAATGCAGTTCAGACGAGGTTAAGGATGAGTTTTACAGAAAGCTTTCGGACTTCCTCCAAAAAGCTAGGCGCTCTGATATAGTAATAATGGCTGGTGACTTTAATGCTCAAGTAGGTAGACTAAGTGAGCAGGAGAGACACCTAGTTGGATGTTATGGTGTCGCGGCTCAGAGAACAGACAATGGTGACCGTCTGTTGCAAGCATGCTCAGACAACCGCCTATTCTTAGCAAACACTAACTTTAGGCATAAGGAAAAGCATGCCCTAGTGCGAGCGCGTATCTGTTTGAAGCTTACTGGGCGTAGGAAAGACACCGTAAGAAAGCCTCTTAGGGTTTTACTTAATGATAATAAGGCGAAAAATATATTTCAGGAACAACTAGAAAGACAGTTAGGCGACCATTTGAGCGATTCCCATCCAGAAGCAGGATGGAATGATATCCAAAAGGTTGTGGAAACAGCAGTGATATCTGCTAGTAAGGTTGACCATAAGACTAGAATGAAACCGTGGATCTCAGCAGCATCCACCGATCTGATGGATGCCCGAAAACTCATCCCACCTGGCTCTGAACATGATGAAGAACGAAGTCAACTTAGGCGCAGACTTATGAAAAGCCTACGTAACGGTCGCGAACAGTGGTGGGTGGCGAAATCGAGAGAGATGGAAAAGGCAGCGGCGATCGGCAACAGCAGACAACTTTTCCGACTTATCAAGGAAACTGGTATTAGGAATCCTAGTGTAAGTGAGACTATCTCAGAATATGACGGGACTATTATTTATTCTCAATCCAGGAGACTGGATCGATGGGCAGAACACTTTAGGGATCAGTTCAACTGTCCTCGAGCCACTCTTCGGTTACCCACGATCTCCAGTCATCCTGAATGGCAAATCGACGTAAGTCCCCCTAGTCTTAATGAAGTTGTAAAAGCGTTAGGAAATCTGAAGCGAGGACGAGCTGTGGGTCCTGATAGACTGACGCCTGAGATATTTAAGGATGGTGGTCCAGTTTTAGCAGCTAGGTTGCCTGAGATCTTAGGTAGAATCTGGGAACTGGACGTAATCCCATCCGACTGGTCTCAATCCTTGATTGTCCCAATCTATAAGAAAGGACAGAAGTCTTCTTGTGACAATCACAGGGGAATAAGTCTAACTAATATAGTTTCTAAAATATTGGCCTCAATAATACTTCGACGCTTAACGAAAGCTCGTGAAGAGCAGACTCGAGAAAACCAATCTGGTTTTCGACCTGGACGTGGCTGTATAGACCACATTTTCACACTACGACAGGTCCTGGAACACAGACACACATTTAGGCGTCCTACAATAGTTGTTTTCCTGGACCTTAAGGCGGCATTTGACTCAGTGGAGTGTGAGGTTCTGTGGCAGTGTCTGTCATTGAAAGGTGTACCAAAGAAGTACATTAACCTTATACAAGCACTCTACTCGAACACCACTGGTCGGGTGAGAGCTTTGTTTTGTGGTGTAGGAATAGGTTGGAAGAAAGCTAGGGGCGGCCAGACCATAAATCCAGGCATAAATCCATGAAGTCATTGACTAGTGGACTGAGTCATGTTGGTAGATGTAGACTACCTGGTTGGGGTCCGCGAGATGATAATAATCGATGGCTAGAGACCTTGAACGACATGGCTCAAAATCGTTCGCAATGGCGCCAGTGCACTTATTCTTTGAGCTCTCTCAAATCCTAATCTTCTGGATTCTTCATACCTCTAGTTTTGACTTTCTAACCTTATCTCATTGAATCATACTTCGTGAATAATATCTTCTAATTCTAACCTCTCCGATTACTTCTAATACCTTTACTACCTCTTCTACTATTGGATTTGAATTGACAATTATATCTCTGTGCTGATGTGGTATGGCGACATGAACTGATGTGCTTGTGTACGAAGTTCTACGTTGCAACTGACTGACTGACTGGACGTAAGAAAGATACAGAAAAGAAACATTTTAGAGTTCTGTTTGACGATAAAAAAGCGAGAGTATATTTCGAGAGCAACTAGAAAAAGTTTGACAGCCATGTTAATGATGCCCGCCCCCAGGCAGCTTAGAATTATATCCAAGAAGCTGTGGAAACAGAAGCGATATCTGCCAGTAAGTTAGACCAAAGGGTTTTGGACGAGCAGTGGATTCCAGTGGCATTTATCGAACTAGTAGGTCCTCTGTAACTCAACTCATCTGTCTGTGGACACGATGAAGAGTGAAGTCAGCCGAAACACAAGTTGATAAAAAGTCTACGCAATAATTGTGAGCAGTGGTGGGTACAGAAAGCAAAAGAAATAAAAAGCCAGTGTCGTTAGGTAGCGGTAGCCAACTATTCAGGCTTATCAAGGAAACGGATATTAGGAATCCGGCTGTTAGTGAGTCTGTCTCTGAAAAAGTCCGGACTATTATTCACTCTCACTCCAGGAGATTGGACTGATGGACAAAACATTTTAGGTATCAGTTCAATTGACCTTTAGCCGCACTTCGGTTACCCACCATATCCAGTCAAACTGAATGATGAGTTGACGTAAGCTCTCCGACTCTTTATGAGGTTGTAAAGGTTATGGGAAATCTATAGCGAGGGAGAGCAGCATGGCCTGACAGGCTTACCCCGATTTTTAAGACTGGTGGTCCAGTTTTGGCAGTTGGATTGACTGAGATTTTAGGTAGAATCTGGGAACTGGACATAATTCCATCTAACTGGTCTCAATACCTGCTTATCCCAATTTATAAGAAAGGATGAACGTCCTCTTATGACAATCACAGGAGAATCAATTTGACTAATATAGTGTCTAAATTGTTAGCCTCGATAATGCTAGAGCTCGTGAAGAGCAGACCCCAGAAAACCAGACTGGTTTCCCACGTGGACGCGGATGTATAGACCATATATTCACTCTTCGTCAGGTCCCGGATCATGGACACTTATTTATACGTTGCACTATATTCGTATTCCTTGACCCGAAAGCGGCCTTTGACTCTGTTGATCGTGAGGTTCTGTGGCATTGTCTGTCATTAAAAGGTGTACCAGAGATGTACATTAACCTTATACAAGCTCTCTACTCGAACATTACAGGTCAAGTGAGAGCTTATGATGAACTGCCATCGGAACTGAATACTTCAAGTGGTGTCCATTAAGGCTGTCCACTTTCTCCATTCTTGTTTAATTTTGTCATTGACTTGCTTTTAAAGACAACATTATATTCGTTTGACTGTTCGGGAGCGGACATTCTACCAGGAAATACACATGTTGACTTATAATATACTGATGACTTAGTTTTATTTAGCGAAGACTGACAAAGTGCAGAGTCTTCTGACTACCCTAAGCAAAAATACAAGCATGTTCGGGATGCGGTTTTCCCCCTCGAAATGCAAAATGTTGCTTCAAGACTGGGTTGCATCGGCACCTGAACTAGTGAAAGGGAGTGAAGTAGTCGAGCGTGTTGATCGCTTCACTTATCTTGGGAGTCTCATCAGTGCTGATGGCCTGGTGACTGACGAAATCTCAGCTCGGATACAGTAGGCTCGATTGGCTTTTGCCAACCTGCGTCACTTATGGCAGGAAAGATACCCGTTTGCTCCATCCTATTATATGGATGTGAAACATGGCAACTAAGAATGAAGGACATTCATAGATTACTAGTATTCGATTATGGCTGTCTTCAAAACATTGCTTGTATATCGTGCGACCACCCAGTAAGTAATACGGTACTAGATAGGGATGACAGATCAGTAGATGAAGTATCGAAAGTTCATTAGTTCAGCTGGTTGGTACATGTGTTACCAATGCCTAACCACCGACTGCCTCGACGAGCGACGTTATCTTATTTAGGGGTAGGCTGGAAGAAAGGTAGAAGTTGCCAAACCAAAACATGGCACAAATCCATGAGGATCCTGACAATTGAACTGAGCCTCGTTAGTAGGTGTAAACTATTTGGTTGGAATCCTCGAGACAATAGTAACCGGTGGTTAGAAATTTTAGACGACAGGGTTCATAATCGTTTGCAGTGACATTGATGAATCATTCTTTTCCCTTCTCAAAATCTAATCTATCTTCCTCATGACCGTTTTCTCTTCCTTTAGATTTATTTCACTGTATTATACTTCTGTAATCATGTCTTCGATCCGTAACCTTTTCGGCCACCGCTAATACTACTACAACCTCCACTATTACAAGATTGGAACTGAAAATTCCATCTCACTGTGCTAATGTTGTATGGTAACTTGAACGAATGTACGTAGGTACCAAGTTCTGCGTTGTAACTAACTAACTGTGTTTGGTATTCCAGTTTAAATAGCTTATTATTATTTTGTATATATATTTAACTGCTGATCCTGTATCACTTTATTTTCCCGTAGTTCTTTATGCCACTGTCCTTGAAAATCCTAAAATTGAGAAGTTACTCGAAAGTTACATAATGAACGGTAGGTTAACCAAACCACTATAAGTCTTATGTCTTTTTATTCTTTATTATAGTAAATTGTCAGAATAAGTCTTTTCTGTTATAGAGACGCTTAGATGCTAATACTCAGTCGATGATTTTTGAAATTAATTCGTCCGGCGAAGAAAGAAACAATTATCCCTTCTAAATTAGTGATAACATTTACAACGGGACTGTTGTTGACGACAGCATTGAATCGCACCTAAAGGGATAAAGTATATGTATATAGGTATTGAAATACTGTCTCATCAGAATGTTAGTGTTGGATCTTTATCTTGCAGGTTCTTTATTCTGCTGTTGAAAGTAATTTATCGAGAGTCATATCTTATCAGTCAATTCGAATCTCCAGTATAGTAATATGTTGAAGAAAAAGACTTAATTTTCAATAATAAATCGCTCATACCAAATACAGATTAACAAAAATACTGATCATTCCGTGTTGCTCCTACTTTCTTCGTAAGTAACTCTTTCGATCGCCTATCTGTACTGCTTCTGAATACCCTTTCAAATCTACTCTCCCAATAACAATATGATTTAAAGATTTGCGTTTAAATTTTTTAATCACCGATTTGTTGGGAAATTCAAGGTCATTCATAAGCAAATGTTACTTACGAGTCATATTTTCTCCTTAACATTATGATTATTTGTCTGTTTTGTCGTTTTGAGCAACCGGTAGTATCATTAGTCTTTATACCCAAGTATCTGGTGAATGATCTAATTTGTTTTATTTTGTTCGGTCAAAGGATAGTGGCAGATCATTCTTATTGTTCTATATTTCTAAGATCGTCGGTTATGGTCATCGATTGACTGCATCACATCAGTGTTTAGTCTTTCGCGCTATCACTGGTAGTACTATTGTTTCCACTTCCTTAATATTGAATTTCCTGATTTTATTCCTCTTAAATTGGCAAACGTTTGTGATTATCTCTACACTAATTATGCGTGACTATCTACATCACATTAATACCATGTATAATTACTGTCATTTCATTCGTAACGTTTACCCTTATCATATTTCCTGTTTTCAAGAGACCATTCATGTAGTAAACAGTATTATCCTGTCCTAATGATGTATGGTTTGCTTGTTCATACTTATTACGCACGAGTGGTAAACGATTATGTCACTATTGTGGACTACTGGGTTGGAGAATTATACTTATTACCCACTTAATCATTACTTTTATGTAAAACATATGTCAAATACAGGGCTTAACATGTTATTCTAATTTGCTTACTATTGTGATAGCTAAAAAAAATAATTATTTGGTGTATTGTCTCATATCTTGTTAAGTAATCACCATATATGTCCGTTCCATCTACCTAAAAAAAATGGTTGCTCTGGTTGTCAGAAGAGGCATCAGCCCCGTGACTTCCGAGGGAACTCGGCTTTCATCACGCGACGTCATAATTTTTCCTCCAACTCCCAGGGCAGAGTCAAAATGGTTTGAATTATATTTTCTGGTTAGCGTTTTTTTGGCAAGTTAGATTTCGACGAAATGGGGTCGCCAACCCCATGTCCAACCCTCCTCCTTTACCCGGGCTTGGGACCGGCAGTAGCCACGAAGGTTCTACTGCAGTACATGAGGAACAAGTACCATCAGATTGGAAAGAAGGATACCTCATCAAAATACCAAAGAAAGGCGATCTCAGCAAGTGTGAGAACTACAGAGGCATCACTCTTCTCTCAATACCAGGCAAAGTCTTCAACAGAGTATTGTTAAACAGAATGAAGGATTATGTAGACGCCCAACTTCGAGATCGACAGGCCGGATTTCGTAAGGATCGATCGTGTACTGACCAAATTGCAACATTACGGATCATTGTGGAACAATCAATTGAATGGAACTCACCACTCTACATCAACTTCATTGACTACGAGAAAGCATTCGATAGCGTGGATAGGACAACTTTATGGAGGCTTATTCGACTCTATGGCGTGTCTGAGAATATAGTCAACATCATACGGAATTCTTATGATGGATTAAAATGCATAATCATGCATGGACGACAGCTGACAGACTCTTTCGATGTGAAGACCGGTGTCAGGCAAGGTTGCTAACTCTCACCCTTTCTCTTTCTCCTGGTGATCAACTGTATTATGAGGACTTCAAAATCTGGAGGGAAGCACGGTATTCAGTTTACATCGAGGATACAGCTGGACGATGATCTGGCTTTTCTATCGCACTCTCAACAACAAGTGCAAGAAAAGACGAGCATTGTAGCAGCAGACTCAGCAACAGCAGGTCTCAACATAAATAAAGGGAAAAGCAAGATTCTCTGATACTGCACAACGTGCGTCAACCAAATCACTGTTGATGGAGATGCCATGAAGGACGTTAAGACCTTTACATATTTGGGCTGCATCATTTACAATCAAGATGGATCCGATGCAGATGTGAGGGCGTGGATAGGCAAAGCAAGAGATGAATTTATACAATTGAAAAATATCTTTAACTACAAACAAATATCAATCGACATCAAAGTTACAATTTTCAATACAAATGTGAAGACAGTTCTACTATATGGAGCGGAAACATGGAGAACTACGAAAGGCATCATCCAGAAGATACAAGTGTTTATTAACAGTTTTCTACGCAAAATACTTTGTATTCGTTGGCCAGACACCATCAGCAACAACGAACTGTGGGAGAGAACAAACCAGATACCATTGGAGGAAGAAATCAGGAAGAAGCGGTGGAACTTGACAGGACACACCCTACGAAAAGCACCTAACTGCGTCACGAGACAAGCCCTCACATGGAACCCTCATGGCAAAAGGAAAAGAGGAAGGCCAAGGGACACATTACGCCAAGAAATAGAGAGGAATGAACGAACATTGGACAGAACTGGAGATGGAAGCCCAGGACAGAGTTGGTTGGAGAATGCTGCTGGTGGGTGGCCTATGCTCCATTGGGGAGTAACAGGCGTAAGTAAGTGAGTAATATATGTCCGTGTATTTCCTGTTTATGCGTAGAAGGAAATGAAGCGGGTAAATCCTGAGTAATTGAAGTTATTAGCTCTATTGTTTGATAATCCTTCAGAATTACATTTTCCATCGTCAACTTCTACCCAAGTATCCCAGCCACATTTACCGCTCTAGGACTGATGGTAGATACTAGTCGTCTATCCGTATCAAATTAGTTTGAACTGGTTTATAACGAGTGACTTACCAGTCGGAATTCGAATACACGTATTACTAATCTAAATTTTCATTACTGACTATTCATATTTTTTTTAAATCTCAGTTACTAATTCTAAGGACATCGCTAACTGGATAAAAACTGTTGAACCTCTTCGATGTTATGATTCTCAGAAGTTGAACAGTGTTTCGTGTCAAGATCAACATCGCAATCATCTTCTGTCTAAATCAATGCAAACACAATGTGCTTAATTGTCTTTCGTACTTCATTATTTTTCCTCATGCTTCTATTCTAATTTACAAAATATGTTGCATTTTCCAAAAATCTTTTCAACGCTTGGTATGCCAATATAAAGTTGAAATTGTGATTAACAGTAAAAATCGGTTCTAATTGAATAACTTGCCAGAGTATGCATTTCATTACTTCTAACAAATTACAGTTCATTTTCACTTTTTATTTTTGTTTGATGCTTACAGCTTTTGCTACTGCAAATTGAACTTGCTTTACCATGTTTATTTATGTTTAAACATAATTTTTATCTCATTGAGCCACTATCCATTTTTATTTAACTTGATTTTTCTCATCTCGTTAACCATTTGTCATTAAGTTCTATTGACTACTCGTTTGTTTTTTTTTGTTACTAATACATTATTTACCTCTGCTGTTCTGATTTTATATGTAGTCAACGAAAGAGACAAGTTTATATTAATGCTTTTGTTGTACATCACACAACGAAAATGTTTGTTATCATGTTCGCACCAACCATTTTATTATTAGGAAAAAAATTGTTCGTGAATTCGCTCACTGTTGACTTCCTCAGTAATCATTATTATAACTTATTCTTTGTTGTCAAGATATCCTTTTTCAGTTTATATACGTATAATTTTTTTTATTGTTTGTATGCGCTTGAAAAAGTGTTACTTTCATCTACCTGTGACTTGCATTATTTTCTTGTTTTAATAATACTTAATAAATACTTAAAGTGTTCTTGTTTTTTTCTTGTTGTATTAAGAGTTGATTATGGTTAAGCTTGCAACATAAGTTAATTAGAGCAACTAAATACCATATTGGTACTCTTCAAGTTGCTTTTTCAAGCCATTAGTTTAATTTCCTCAAGATGCAACGCAGAACGATTTGTAGGTAGGCAGGATATCTAAGATATATATATATATATATATATATATATATATATATATATATATATATATATATCATAGGTATCTTAATGTCCCACTCAGCGCATTTCTGAATCACGTTACTTTTGACTCACAATAAAATGACACTAACCAATCACAGCCAAGGATTTTCCTGTTGGGAAATGTAATCTCAAGGTCAACTGAAACAAATCCAAAATAGATATATGTATCAAGCGAGTTCTGAGGATCTAGCATCCCCAGCAGTAATGATGCAATATTAGGCTGGGTAGACAACTTAGCTGGGATTTCATGGTTGATAGTCAGGCGTCTAAAATAGGAAATTCATGGTTATGTTGATAGCATATCTACCTGAAGTTTAACTAAAATCCAAGACACTGAGATCAACAATGTAACAATCAGATAAGTGGAAGGAAGGCTGAGAATAACTTTCGACTCTGTCTCAGATTTACTGATGTTTTGAAGGAAGATGGTTGACTAATTAATTGTAGATAGCCTATACATATATATATATATATATATATATATATATATATATATATATATATATAGTCAGCAAAATCTATATGACAGTTCTCAGTTTTCGTGTACCTCAACATACCCTACTCTGACTTAGAGAAAGACCGAAATAATGAGATTCATGAATCATAGCGAATAATCTAATTTAAACAGTTTAAAATCTCAGATTACCTTTATAAAAAGTATTTACCTAATGTTCTAGCAACTCTATAGTTTACAGATACGAATTTCACTAGTTTTCTTTTTCTTAACCATTGATTAATTTCAGCAACTGTTAATATTAATTATACATTGTTTATTCTATTCTCTGTAGTACAATAACAATAGGGCGTTAACATTTTGACATTACTTTTCTATTTCTTATTTCACCGTATTAATTTTTCTATTAATGAAGTGATTCTATTGAAACAAGAGATTTCAATCACTAATGTCATTACCTTTATTGGTATATTATACATTGTTGCTGTTATCCGTGTTTCATTGTTTGCATAGATTAAATGAAATAATCTTGAAATATTTCCGACTAGATTTTTTTTAATCCTGACTTTTATACATTGTATTAAATTATAAATTAATTAAATATTTAAAAAATATGCTCAAATTATTCAATCACATCTACTCTATTAAAATATTTTACGGAAAACTATTGACCTGTAACGAAATAAAAGTTCAAACAATCATTGAGTGACAGTTGTAATTAAAGAAAAGAGAGAAGAAATTAATATGATATACAAACAGTAGGAAATTGTTAAAACATCTTCAAACAAAGCTTCTGTAATTCTACAAATTATTGTCTTTGATAATTTCCATACATCATATTTCAAAAGTGTCGTGTTGTTGAACGTATGAGCTGTTTTTATTACATAGTTTCCTAACAATGAACTTGGTTTTTTATATTCTTCGTTTATTGGAGCATTTGACGTTGACTGATTTCGAAACTGTCGTGGTGGTGGATATTCTGTGTAACTCCTAAACTTCGTATACTGCTCCTCCTGATAACCGTTACTAAATAACACCCAACGGTTTATACATTTCAGAATACGAATACGAAACGTTAATGACGTTTATTATCGTACCACACCGATCACAAAACCACTGGTATACGAAGCAAGCGGAATGATATGCATAATACATATAACCAAATTACACGTAAACAAATTCAAATTTATGTGAGGTGCTATACTATCTTCCAACCCCGCCTAAAGTCCCTCTGTGGCTACTGCCGGTCCCAAGCCCTGATAAAGGAGGGTTGGCAACCCCATCCCACAAAAAAAACCAACTCGCTAAAAAACGTTAATCAAAAAAATAATTCAAACCATTTTAACTGCCCTGGGAGTTAAAAAGTCTCCTATCAGAAGAATTATGACGTCTCATGATGAAATCCAAGTTCCTTCGGAAGTCACGAAGCCTATGCCACTTCTCACAACCACAGCAACTATTCCTTTAGGTGCATGGAATGTTCGAAGTGTGTGGGAGAGCGGAAGACTATTCCAAATTACTTCAGAAATAAAAAGATATGACCTGGAGGTGCTAGGAATCAGCGAAACGAAATTGGACACAGGTAGGACAACTGAGACTAGCTTCAGGGGAACTGCTGTTACACTCTGCCAATGAGAAAGAAAATGCCTCACACACTCAAGGAGTCGCACTGATGCTGTCCAAACAAGCACAAAATGCACTGATAGGATAGGAATCTCATGGACCCAGGATCATTAAAGCATCCTTCAAAACAAAGAAAGAGGACATTACAATGAACGTCATCCAATGTTATGCACCTACCAATAACTACAATGTTGACGTTAAAGATCAATTCTACGAAAGGCTTCAGTCAATCGTCGACAGATGCTCACCAAGGGATTTGACGATTCTAATGGGAGACCTAAATGCAAAGGTTGGCAATGACAACACTGGATATGAAGACATTATGGGACGACATGTACTGGGAGAGAGGAACGAAAACGGTGAGAGATTTGCAAACCTATGTGCCTTCAACAAACTGGTCATCGGTGGAACAGTATTCCAACACAAGCGCATACACAAAGCTACATGGATTTCACCAGATCACACTACTCAAAACCAAATTTATCATATCTGTATCGACAAAAAATTCAGGAGGACCATGGAGGATGTGAGGACCAAGAGAGGAGCTGATATAGCCTCAGATCACCACTTGATGGTGCCCAAAATGAAACTAAAACGAAAGAAGCACTGGACAACGGGGCAGACAACCTCACAGAAGTTTAATATGGCATTTCTTCGGGATACCGTAAAACTCAACGAATTCAAGATAGCCCTGACCATTAGGTTCCAGGCCTTGCACGATATACTCAATGGAGAGAAAACAACATTGGAGAACAATTGTAAAGGGATCAAGGAGGCAATCACTTCAAAATGTCACGAGGTTCTGGGGCCGCCAGAAATACCACGATAAGGAATGGATCTCTGTTGGTACTCTTGAAGGAGGAACAAGAGGGCAGCAATCAATGTCAGCCGAACAAGAGCAGAGGAAGTTACCGCATAGGCTGAATAAACAGAAACAATCAGGAAAGTGAAGAAGAGCGTCAGAGCCGACAAACGAATTTATGTGGAAGATCTAGCAATGATGGCGAGAAAGGCTGCAAGAGACAGAAACATGAAACAATTTTACGATACCACAAAGAATCTCTCTGGAAACTATCATAAAGCAGAAAGACCAGTGAAATGCAAGGAAGGCAATGTAATCAGCAACATTGAAGAGCAGCGAAAAAGGAGGTAGTGCACTTTGGGAAACTCTAGAATCGACCAGCTCCACTGAACCCACCCAATATCGAACCAGCATCCACGGACCTCCTAATTAATACTGGCGCACCTACGATTGAGGAGATCAGTATGGCCATCAGACAAATCAAGAGCGGCAAAGCAGCAGGACCAGAAAACATTCCAGCAGAGGCAATGAAAGCAGATGTAGAAGCAACTGAGAAAATATTTCACATCCTCTTCAAAAAGATTTGGGATGAGGAACAAGTACCATCAGATTGGAAAGAAGGATACCTCATCAAAATACCAAAGAAAGGCGATCTCAGCAAGTGTGAGAACTACAGAGGCATCACTCTTCTCTCAATACCAGGCAAAGTCTTCAACAGAGTATTGTTAAACAGAATGAAGGATTATGTAGACGCCCAACTTCGAGATCGACAGGCCGGATTTCGTAAGGATCGATCGTGTACTGACCAAATTGCAACATTACGGATCATTGTGGAACAATCAATTGAATGGAACTCACCACTCTACATCAACTTCATTGACTACGAGAAAGCATTCGATAGCGTGGATAGGACAACTTTATGGAGGCTTATTCGACTCTATGGCGTGTCTGAGAATATAGTCAACATCATACGGAATTCTTATGATGGATTAAAATGCATAATCATGCATGGACGACAGCTGACAGACTCTTTCGATGTGAAGACCGGTGTCAGGCAAGGTTGCTAACTCTCACCCTTTCTCTTTCTCCTGGTGATCAACTGTATTATGAGGACTTCAAAATCTGGAGGGAAGCACGGTATTCAGTTTACATCGAGGATACAGCTGGACGATGA